AACCAAAACTTCTGCGAGTGCTTAATGAAGACCAACAACTCAACATTTATCTTAGAGGCAACGGTTTATATGACTTGAGGCAATTATGAGGCAATTTATTAGACTAGAGGCAACGGTTTATATGCAGCAGATAGCCGACATTTTCCACGCATGCGTTCTCCAAACCGAATAACTCGCTTCACGGCCTCCAGCAGGCGTGGGCAGCTGAGGGCTGGCTTGATGGCGCCACCGAGCCGGGTGTCCGCCGTCGGCAGGTGACGGCCTGTGAGTGTGAGGCGGAACGGCGGCCAACCTGTGGTTCGCCAAAGCCGGCAGGCCGGAAGAATGGGCGATGGGTCATCGGTTTGCCAGCAGCAATAACCGATTGGTCAGCTGCAGTGGTTGATGGGAGAGGCGCTTACGGCACACACCGATTGTTCAACTGTCGTCTCTGATGAGAGGGGCGCTTAGCTTTAAGCGTTGCGCTCTCGCGTCAGTCCACCCCTCAAACCACGTCTTACTGCGGCATGCTTATCATCGGAAATAAACGACAGCAACACATTTCCATCGACGTGGCGCCCGACACGCCAATCGGCAAGCCCTTCCCGAAACACCAATCACAACGGGGAAAGACAGTGGCATTTGCAATCACTCACACGTTGGCGAGAGTCCATACCACGATCAAGCCAGCTGACAAAGGCCACTATGGACGTGTCAGGCGAACCCTCCAGGGCAAGGGCAACAACCAAGGTGGTGGAGAGGGCAGCATTTGCCCACATCTGGACTGCTGCACAACGGTGACAGTGCAGCCCCTGTTTCAAAGGGGCACTTCCTAGCGCAGTCCATGCACCGCCCACGGCGTCCACGGATGGCACGCGGTCGTTTTCCGTAAGCGCACATGCTGCCCAACCAGGGAACCTACCACAACTGCGTGCCAACCGCAGCGTGTCGGCAGCGGCGTTCCCGACCTGGCCGGGCCGTCTACGCCACAGCCGGGCCGACTGCGTCACGTCCGCAACGCCCGCGCCACGTCTGTACAACGTCCGAGCTGCCCGCGCCACGGCCGGGCCGCCCGCGCCACGTCCGCACCATCCGCGCTATGTCCGCACCACGTCCAAGCCGCCCGCGCCACGGCCGGGCCGCCCGCGCCACGTGCGCACCGTCCGCGCTACGTCCGCACCACGTCCGCACCGCCCGCGCTACGCTCGCTCATCTCGGCACCAGCAGCACGCCCCGCGGGTCGCAGCCCGATTGCCAATTTGGACGGCTCGTCTGGCGTCTGAGGTTTTCGCCAGCTCCCTACGGGCCTGTCTGCCGGACGCCCGGGGCAATCTCAGACAAAAACACTGCGGTACGCCGCCGGTTGCGGCCGACGCGCGGCGATGCGGCCGCCGACGATTTGCTGCTGCGTGGCCCGTCTGCGGCGGTAAGCGCTTATGCGGTCTCTGCGCACACCAATGTCAAGTCTGCTATCGACAGCAAGAAGTGATTGGAAGAGACTTCTACGACGTCGCAAAGGCCGCCATGTTCGAAACCCGGAATCGGCAGCTGTTTTGATCTCTACGGATGGACGACGCATTCGTACCAGTTCACTGTACTCCTGTTTCCGATATCAATGTTGTATTCTCTGTTGTGTTTCAGGTTAGGTTACCATTCGTATCTCCGTCAGCTACCTATACCTTAAACATTCTTTGTAAGCCGTTGCGTAGTACCAGTCGTTTATTCAGTGGCGGCACGCGAACGGCATTGACTTTCGAACCTGCGTACCACGAGGTGAAAAGATGGACGTCGTGGAGCAGCCGCGCCGCGCCGCGCCACCGCCACGTAGCCAGACGCCGAAGTTGCCCCCTGTGCCTCACGAAAACGCGCCGCGGTAGACTGAGCAGCTGGTGCTCCTCAGGCCGCAGAACACAAGTTTGTGCTCCCAGAAATTGAGAAATGCAGGCCAAAGTCGGCAATACAGCAAATGTAAGATGTTTAAACAAAGGTGAAAACCAGCCGCAAAAATTAATTGACACTTTTAGCAAGATGGACAAAACGAAACATTCGGTCAAGAGCGGGCTGACACGAACTTCGGACGTGGCGGTGCTCAAGCTTGGATGCGAAACTTCTAACGCCAGCGGTTTTGATTTGTGCTTCCAAACTTCATGATATAATGCGTTGCGACCTTCGCGAATGTTCCAAATTCTCATGGAAATATAGCGGCTGCTTGCGAGCCGGAAGGCTAAACGGAATGTTCCACATTTGAAGATATTGAAACAAGGACAAGTATCATGAAATCAGCTCACTTGTAACTTATAAGTATACTTGGAAAGTTCAAGTG